TTTTTCTTCATATAACCTAGCTTATCAGATTATTTGTTCAGAATACAGGCTAAATAAGTATGGTGAAAGAATACAACCCTGTTGCACACCTTTCCTAATTTTAAACCGTTCAGTGTTCCCATGTTCTGTTCGAACAACTGCCTCTTGGTCCTTGGAAATCCTATATGTGGTTGCTATGAGTTAGCACAGATCTTATGGCACTTAACAACAACAATAACATATTTGCATTGTTAATATCTATCCATCCCCTTATTCAAAGTTTGCCTTATATTGTTGTTGTTAAGTGCTGTCAAGTCAGTTCCAACCCATATTGATCCTGTATAGGGTGTCCAAGGAGCGGCTGGTTCATATAAATGGTGACCTTGAACCACTGACCTTGCAGTTCAAACCAAACTTTCAGTCCAGTGCATTAACCCACAGCACCACAAAGTCTATGTATTAAAAAAAAAAAAAACAATTGCTGGAATATCTATAAGTATTCCAGTATAGAAAATCATTACTTAAAATAAAAGTAAAGCACCTTAACACTTCATTGAGATACCATTTTTACCTAACAGGCTGTCAAGCACTGGAATTTTTGTCAGCTTCCTGTTGTTGAAGCTATAGGAAAACAGACATTTTCATACAATGCTGAAGGGAATAAAAACTGTTACAATGATATCCCTAGATCCGTGTTCTCTTCTGAATGTAGCTTGAACCTCTGGAAGTTCTATCAATGTATGGTTACAGCCGTTTTAGGATTAACTTTAGTAAAACTTCACTTGCATGGGATATACATGATATTGTCCAAAAATTTCCACATTCCAATGGGTCACCTCTCTGGAATGAGTGCAAATATGGATTTCTTCCAGTGAGTTGGCCAGGTAGTTTTCTTCCAAATTTCTTGGTGAATGGTTTAAAATTAGGAAAGGTATGCACCAGGGCTGTATTCTTTTACCTTATTTATTCAGTCTGTATGCGAGCAAGTAATCTGAGAAGCTAGATTATATAAAGGAAAATGTGGCATCTGGAAACAGGAAGGTTCATTAACAACCTGCAATATACAGATGATAAAACCTTGCTTGCTGAAAGTGAAGAGGATTTAAAATATTTACTGATGAAGATCAAAGACCACAGCCTTCAGTATGGGTCATATCTCAATGTAAAGAAAACAGAAATCCTCACCATTGAACCAATAAACAACATTTATATAAATGGAGAAAAGACTAAAGTTGTCAAAAGACTTGGTTTTGCTTGGATCAACCATCAACACTCATGGAAGTAGCATTCAAGAAATCAAACAATGTATTGCAATAG